TAGTGATCATTTATACCCTGATCTACTGTGTAATAGTGATCATTTATCACCAACTGCTTTAAGTAGATGAGATGTTTTAAAATAGTTTATCATTTGATGTTTAATAACGTTGTATCTGATAAATACATTTTGTCATAGTTTTAAATGCAGTACCAGTGTTGTTATTTCTAATGTAATACTTTTAAATAGAAATAATACAATCCTTTAATATTTGAACCAAAACTGAACAGTTCATTTTCTAAGACAAAATAAAAATATTTGAGGAACAGAATTTCCTTTGGTCTCCGTCAGTTGTTTCACTTCTTTCCTCTAAAATCAACGATCCTAAAATATTTCCTCAGGCTTTCGTTTAAACTGGACCTGAAACATGAAGTTACTTAAATGGTTAATTCCTGCTCAGTTTTGCAGCTGAACTGTATCTTAAATGTGAGATGTTTTTATGATGTGGACATTTAGGCTATCAACAATACGGATATTTGTCGCGTGAGGTGAATGGCGATAATCAGTATGTTGGCTGAAAATATTTGAGCTTTGTCCTCAATAATCCAAGTAAACAACTATTTTTAAACCTGTCTTAACTCTTTAGGTCTTGCAACAGTCGTCCTAACGTGCGCTCACATCTTCTGTCCTCCACTATTCACCATGAAGTTGTCAAGTGTTACAGAAATATCAATTAAACACAGAAACTCTGTTCTTTGTTCAAAGACTTTTTGATTTGTCAAAAAGTAGTCTATATTGTTTTCCTTTTTCTGTAATGCTAATTTACCAAAATAAAGTTGAGTTGAGTTGAAGAGTCACGCAGGTGAAGGTCTGATTAGTGTTGACCTCATCAGTTTAGTTTCTTTGTAGAGAAGTAAAGATTTCAGACAGACATTGCATTTCATTGAGGACGACAAAGATAACGTTACTAACACCAATATGTTTTACCTCTACGTGAGATTTATTGTTCTGGATAAAGTTTTACAAGCAATAGCTGATGCTAGGTTATCTAAACGTTAGCTTGCTAACTTGAGAGGCACGTAGCTAAAGACAAGCAGGTTGGAGGATTGAAGAGAATTTATTGATTTATTTACAGATCAGTTAAAATAAACTTACTGTGTTCTGTTCAGCAAAATACTCTACACAGTGTTGCTCAGTGCTTCGGCTGCGCTGAAACTGAAACTTAAGTGAACGGCCATGACTTGAAAGTTGTCTTCACGTGCCCTCTGCTGGATACATTGTACATTCTCACTGGTTCCAGTGTTTTAGGGGTGAACATTAGAAGTTTTTATATCTGCACATAATGGGACAATTATCACAGATACCGACATGTCCCTAATGTCTATATTGGCCCAAAATATCGGGCCTACCGATCATATCAGCAGCTCTAGTTTCCTCTTCTTGTGGCTGTAAAGTGAAGTTGTGCAGGCTTCAGGAAACACTCGTCATGTTTTTATTAGATGTAATTTGATATTTTTATTTTGCTGAATGATTTGTGTTTCTGGAAGGCCGACCTGCAGATAATCTTGTTTTTAAATTTGATTTGTGGCAGATTTTTTCAAAGTATTTTTAGATTAAAACAGATCAACAATAAAAACCTAAAAATTTAAATACAAGCCAATAAACTAAAGCAATTCTTAGTTTAAAAGTTTATTACAGATTACAGTCTTTTATTTTTTTTCAAAAGAATTATGCAATTAAACCCATATTTAAATAGTTCCTGATTGACCCAGTAATTATGTGATAATGATTCATAATAAATGTTTATTTAAATGTTTATTTCAGCAGATTATTTTAGTCACTGCCAGAGTTGTGTTTAATCTTAATTTCAGGATAATGTGTCATATTTATCGATTTACTGTTTTCTTCTGTGTTTTTTATTATTTAATTACAAAAAGAGCAATTTATCAGTTTTATGACGTTTTAGAAAACTGTTTTATATAAAACACTTTGCCGTTAGTGTTTTTTTTACAACTGATTAGATTTTTTTTTCAGTTGTAAGGAATGAAAACTAATAGAAATCTACATTTCTCTGTTTCTGTAATTGTTTCACTCAGGTCAGTCGTATTTGTTTAGAGTCGTTGACGTGTTTTTGTTTTTGCGTTGAACTTTATTTTTGTGTTGAACTTTATTTTTGATTTTTGCGTTGAACTTTATTTTCCTCCTGCAGAGACGATGAATGAGGCGATGGCTGCAGCCGTCCTGGTTGTGGCGTTCCTCCTGGCTGTCGGGGATGTTTCAGGCGGTTTGGACTGCAGCCCGTCCGCCGTGGAGGCGACCAGCGGGCGGCGGTCTCTGTCAGCTGTGGTGGACACGCAGAGAGCCGAGCAGAGCCGAAGGCAACACCTGGAGGCTCTGTTCAACAGGTGAGCTGCCAGCAGCGCCACCTGCAGGAGGTTTTTATTTCCTTCCGATTCTTGGAAGTGTGACTTTTTAAATGCTGAACCCAAGGAGGGTGGAGGGGGTGGTGGTAAGTGTGTCAGTTAGTCAACACATAATGGTCCCCCCACTCCTACCTGTTGCTCCGAGTTGGTATTTTGTTGTGTACAAAGGTTGGTGGGGAATTCTCCTCAGCCTTTACGCTCATTAATAACAGCCGACGTCGGCTAGTTGTGCGTTTATCCGCTTCACCCTCACTAATCTTTCCCACCTCCTGGTCCACAGTTTCCATGACCTCTTCTTTTCATTCTCTTCTTTCATGAGCTCCTCAAAGCTGAGGGTAAATGTTCTGTCCTTATCCAGCTCCTTTCTGTCTGACCAAGACACTCAAAGCTCTTTACAACTATCTGTGCCTCGTTTACCTGTTCATACAGCTCTATACTAGATCTCTACTAGATCTATACTAGATCTGTACAAACGATAATCAGAGCTTCATCACATTCATTCACCCATGGGACACACATCAGAGGCAATGAGGAGTTCAGTGTCTTGCTCAGGGACACTTCAGCATGTGACTGCTGGTGGAATCAAACCCACAACTCTTGCATTGGAGGACGACCGCTCTAACCACTCAGCCACAGCCGCCCTCTAGGTGTAAAAAAAGAAGTTCATTTAAAATGTTTTTTCTGCTTTAATCCATGAATTCATCATACGCCTTCTGAATTGTTTTTGCCACCTCCCTCGCTGCTCTACGTCCCATCTCCTTAAGTTCCTGTCTCCTCTTCACTCCTGTCACGGTCATATTTCTTCTTGACTAAACTCTTTCTATGAACAACTTCCTGCACTTCACAGCCTTCTCATTAATTGTTAGAGCGGGAGGCTGGAGTCATTTCCATCATCAACACGTAGATGTTGTGTTTGGTGAAATGTTGGTGAACGCAGACTTTAAACTCTGATCTCACATGAAAATGTCTCACCAGCATCAGTTCAATCCACTTTATTTATATAGAACCAAGTTATAACAGAAGTCGTCTCAGGGACTGAACAGAAACATTCATCTATAAAATAATAATTTAACAGAAACATTCATGTATAAAATAATAATTGAACAGAAACATTAATCTATAAAATAATAATT